TTATTAGGGCAATTTATAATAAGAAAGAAATGCCTATGGTTCTAAAATCGTAAATATGTCAATACACAAGATAAGGCATTTAATCAAAATCAACAATTACACATTTCTGTTATTACATTTTTCTTATTACCGATTACTAAGTATGAACATTGTGCGTGCAAAACTGGGATTTGTCAAATAAGAATACATATGTATTGGAATGTGTGCGTGTGCGTGTGCGTGTGCGTGTTCGTGTGCGTGTGCGTGTGCGTTTGTGTGTTAAGAAATAAAATATAAAATGGAAGTAAAAGAAATAAAAATAATGAAGTTTTCTGAATGGAGAGATTTAATTGTATGATCGAACAAATCGTCATGCGTTAATATATTCTTGTAATTTCTGCGATATATCCGATTTTCATATTTGAATATTTTTAAGCAATAGTTAGCCAATACTTTCTGTCTTAATATATTAATATATATATTAAGAAAATAAAACTCTACATTCACTATTTCTGTAAATAATATTAGTCACAAAATGTGAATTGTGAATATTCCAACATTAATGTTAGAAAAATTTGTAAATTTAAACATATATGCATATACTTATATATACACGTGTATGTGTATATAAACACACACACACACACACACACACACACACACACACACACACACACACACACACGCTATCAATTCTACTTGTAAAATATTCGATGTAACTTAAATTTTATTACGTTCTTTAATTTACCAATAATCTTTAATTTTTTAGATTAATTAATAGTCAATTTTACATCTAGTATTTTTTAGTAATTGAGAATTATATATTCGTACAAAGCATAGTAAAAAACGTAATGATTCGATAATGAAGTATGAAAAATAATAATTGACCACTTCACTTATCGATTAACGTAACAATAAAATATATTGAATTATGTCTTTCGAAGTGCACACAAATACTAGAAACAGTAAATACTTGATAATTTTCGTGTTTCGGTAGAGTCTCCAATATCTAAATTAATGGGGTGAGAGGATTAATTTGAACAAGGAAAGTTTCGAGTAAGAAATATTCAGCTTTCCTTATAATTTGATGTCTCGCGAAGAATAACATTAATAACAAAGAGAGGCGACGTATAATACAAATCTGCGTTTTAATTATCTTTGTTTAGTTATTTACTAAAGACGTCTTTTACTTTTTGCACTCGAACGGCGACTTTCGGTCGCCATTTTCTTTCCATGCCGCGGCTCTAATGGCAGGTAAACTGTAACGATAGATGAAATGTCGAAATTAAATAGTTCTATATGTTTTTACAAAGAATAACGTTTATTTTGTAGCAGAAAAGCTTCGAATTGTTACATTCCTACAGTGAAAAAAGCAACGAGTGCAAATGGTTGATACGTTAAGCTGCATTGAGTTATATCTCATGTATACCACTCTTATCGCTTTTAAATCTCTAAAGCATTTCCGATTGCAACGTAATTACAACGTTTAATATTGTACGTCCTCTCTCTTTGTTGCTGTTACATGTAAGGTATTAATAAAAGTAGCGAATGTAATATTCTATTCAGGTAATAGAATATTTAAATAGTATGACATTCGGATAATACAATACTTAAGTTAAGGTACATATTTGGATAATGGAGGTTTTACTATGTCAAAATTAGACTTTATTATAACAGAATTTATAAAAACAATTGTAACAGCAATAATATAAATAATAATAAGCAATGACCAAAAATAATAAAATTGAAGTTTTATTGCGTATTGACATATTGATAGTTTCAGTGATAGAATTCAAAAATTTCGAGGAAATGTTTCTTGTTACTGCACTTTTATTATTATTACCATTATCGCTACTACTAGATTTCTTCCAATAATTTCATTCTATTCTAAGTCTTTTTTCAATGAATTTAATAAATTGTACGTGATTAAAAAATTCGAAAATTTTATATTAATGCATTAAATATATTTTATAAAATAAAATTTATCTAAATCGAACAAGTGAGATCAAATTGGCGAAAAACAGCATCGCGGGAACAAAATATTTCTAGAAAGATTCTTACGTAAAGAAAAACAAATTTTTCCAGTTTTCACTTATAAGATAGTTCTCTGACAAAATTTAAGTGTCGTTAGTTTTCAAAGAGAAAATTGTGGGATGCTATTTTAAAAAAAAAAACGAATCGAAACCCGGCCAATGACGACGTAGAGTCTTATTTTAGGAAAAAAATCGAAAATCGACTAATATCGTTACGGAAGGCAATTTTTAGAAACAAACTAGCTGAATTGCGCGGTCTTTACGGGGAGATGAAACGCAGGTCAACGGAATCGTGATCGTTACAGTCGAGGAATCATATCCGTCAATTAGCGATTGATAAAAGTACTTTTGACAAGCTTTGCAAAGGGCATAAAAACAGGACCCTCGACGACATAGGGAAAGCTCTGGTCGAAGAAGCTTTGAAGAATCCTCGTGAAAATTTTAGTTTGCGACTGACACGGACGCAATGTCGTTCGGTGCCGGAGAGAGACGAATAAAAGCGTGTTTCCCGTGTGTTAAAATTACGTTATTTCGATATTACTTTCTTGCGTTTAATCAGTTTCCGCGTTTGGTGTTCGTTTCATTCTGTTCATTTTATTCTGTCCGTTTCGTGCACACCCGATATTCCTTCGATAAAAGAAAGAACACATACACATTACATACACGTTATTTCTGTAATCTGAAGATAAAATAAAACCTGTTTTTGGCAGTCTACATAATTTAATACGTAATTTTTAGTTCACGAAATGCACGTATCGAAGCTATAAAAACGGATGCCGAGTATTAAGATATCACATGAATTGATTAAAAATTAATTGACCATAAAGAATCGAAGAATTAAAAATTAAGAATTAGAGTAAAGAGTGAAGAATAACTTGGGGAAATTGAACGCATCAGTTTCGAACCAAAGTGTTCGTTAAGTTCATATTTATTTTATTTTATTATTAAATATACTTATATTGTATTTTTTTAAATCTTACCTAAATTTTGTTGTTAATTCTATTAACAATTCGAAATATTTAAAGAAACAATCATGTATTATATTTATGTATAAATACGATGAAAAATACTTTAGTCTAAATCATAAATGGTGATTTCCGTTATATTATAAATGATGTAATGTCTTGAGGTAACTCTTGGTATAGTGCCAAGTTTCGACGCTATGTGGCGTCGTTCTCTCGCTTTATTATATGATTCATTACAGTATATGAAACAGCTGTTACAAATGAGAAAGCGACAAACAGCGAAAATTCAAAAATTTAATATGGATATGGATTTATAGAGTATTGCAATATATGCTGCATGCATAACATTGTGTAAAAAACATACAGTTTTTATTATACACAATGTGTTCATTTTCGTTCGGATAGATCATTCGGGTCTATCTATGGGAAATAAACCTAATGTTAGGTTTAAATCCCAAAATCATTATTAAAATACGTAGTTATCATTATGCTTTAAAATGACACGATAATTTATTATTCTATTTTGCTCAGTCCCGCTTTTACATATCTATTTAGGTATATTGTAGAAATAAAAGAAAAACATTTAATTGAAATGTTATATCTATTTAAAAGTATTTATAGACAAATACAAAATATTAATATTAAAAGTTAGAAAGAATTTATAATATTTAAAAAGAAAACGATTATTTCGATTAAGTTCGAAAATATTATAAATTACTACAACTTATATTATATAGGGTGTCTCCAAAATCTTGATACAATTGAATGACCACGTCCGAAAATAAGTAGAAAATAATAAGATTAGTACTTTCTCAAGCAAGAATCGTGTTCGTGTATTCGCGATTTCTATGTGTGAACAACGTAAAGGAGCAAAAGAAAATAATACAAATCAACGATAAAAATGATAGTAAGAATAATAAGAAAAACATAATAACATTACTTATTTAACTATCTTTAATAATCAATAATCAAACCAAAATAAAATAATAATGTAAGTAACATCAATATATAATATATATTTGAATTTATTTTATTGATTTGATAAAAAAGAAATTTGGTTATTTTAATGGAAAAAATAAAAGTAAATGATTGGACCCTGAAACATTTTAAATAAAAATTTTAAATTAGAGCAAAGATGTTAGTATACGATTATTATTTTATATTTATCTAACATATTTTGTCGATTCAGACCATGACATGATGCTGTTAATTCTATCTTTATATTTAATTTTATATGTTCAAAAATTATGAGTACCATACGTGGATAAGGTACAGTACACATCGTTGAAAATATGAAATATCACTCTTTGATAATAATATAAATGTTATATATATATTGTTTAGAGATAAATATTAAAATATTCACAAAATATTGAACAATTTCTAAGTATTTTAAAACTTGGAATCTTATTACAAATATTAAAAATTTCTAAGAATATCAAAATTTATCGCAATTTCGTAGATTTAGGATTTAAAGTGTTTCAAAATCCATCATTATTCATAACTTATCCTACACATTCTTATTTTTCGTACTAACAGATAATTAATTAATGGATGTTTTATCACTATTGTTGTTTTAGTATTTCTATGTATAAATATATATATAAATGTAAATAAATAAGTGCAAAATTGGATGTTGATTTATCCTATAATTCATTTCATTACAATTTTGGTTTCTTATTTTTGTTACATATCATAGACATATGTTCATGTTGTTATATTATTGCTTAACAAAATGATAAGTATAATAAATTGCTACTAGGATCAGAAAGTTGTACAGTTGTAATAGTTAATAGAATACTTGAATAATAAGAGTAATTTTGATGTTTGTATAATTAGTATTATAAAGGTATATTTTGTTAAAAATAGATATTATAAATTGAATATCGTTTTCAAATACATGTTTAAATTAATGTTTACTTCTTTCAATATGATGTACGATCGTACCCACGTGTTGTCACAGTAGTAAATTTAATTTAAGAGTTTTGTGGTGATAATAGTATTAGTTAATTGAAAAATTTAATCAAGTCACAATTACAAAGTTTGTACATATATATATATATACATATATATACCACGTTAATATCAGAAAATAGTATTTTATTGATATATTGAAGAAATATTAGAATATAACCTTTCGATTATCGGTTTATTTGTAATTTATAAATTGTTATCGTTCCACAAATTACATTATTACTTCTAATATACTAATGTATATTAGAATAAACATATGTTATATTTATTATTATATTTTATCTCCTTATCGTTATATATATGTATATACATTTTTACATTAAATAATAGTTTTACATTAAATTAAAATGTATTAAGATTAGATAACTAAATAATGTCGTTTTCGCATTTTTATTTTTATTTCAAAAAGCGACATTATTTATTTGGTTACCTGATATTAGTACAATTTACTTCTTAAAATGTATTAACTAAAATTTGATGTATTATTTTTAAGTATTGTCTTATTACTACATTTTTATAGATGCTTAAACATCGTGAACCAATATCTGCATTTGCTATGCATGCTATGAAACGTAAAAATGTAGAAATATCGTTGAAATCAAAAAAATTGAAAAGAAAACACACTTCTCCAGAAGAAAGAATAGTTTTAAAAAATGATTCAAAACGCAGGATCCAAGAAACAGCAAAGCAAACTACGGAGAAAGATATTCAAGAAATAAACAAAGTTCCAATAAGTAAAATTCACAATGCAAACAAAAAGAATAATTCTTCTATGATTTCTAAAAAAAATAAATCAATTCGAAGATCAATACGTAAACGAGAAAATAAAAAAGGAATTCTAATTCCTGATTTAAAGAAAGCAGAATCAAACAAAAAATTAAAAAGTTCCCTTTCAATGATGAATAGGGGTGTTGCAAAAATGAAACAAATTAAGCAAAAACAACAAAAGCAGATAAAAAGCAAAAGATTAATCAAAAATATTACTCAGGAAACTGCTTGTGCTAATGATGGAATAATTGTAGAAAATCATGAGAATCCTCTACATGTAAGTTACTCAATGTTTGAATGGTTAATACACCCTTTGAAAGTGGTAGACTTTTTTGAGTAAGTTTTAGATAATTAAATTTTGCTAAAATATATATATATATATGTTTATAATTTTATGTTTTAATGGGAGTTTTATAATTTTTTTTCTCAGGAAGAATTGGGAAAAAACACCAGTTCATGTAAAGAGAAATTTTCCTAAATATTATAAATTGCTTATGTCTACTTCAATGTTAGATAAAATATTAAGGGAATCTTATATATTATTTACAAAAAATATTGATATTACTTCATATGAAAATGGTATGAGAGAAACACATAATCCTGTTGGTCGTGCAATTCCAAGTGTTGTTTGGGATTATTATATGAATGGATGTTCTGTTAGAATGTTGAATCCACAAACATATATATCAAAATTACATTCGTTAAATGGTAATTACTTTTTTAAATATAGGTTAATAATCTTTTTATTCTAAAATCTAAGAATGAAATGAAGTTTTAATTGGATTTATATTGGATAAATGTATTTTCCATGTAATGTACAATTAATAAAAATTACTTATTACTTTCAGCCACACTTCAGGAAATTTTTGGTTGTTTTGTTGGTGCAAATTCCTATCTAACACCTCCTAATAGTCAAGGATTTGCACCACATTATGATGACATTGAAGCCTTTATATTACAGATCGAAGGTAAAAAAAGATGGAGATTATACAAACCACGAAATGAGAATGAATACTTGCCAAGGTATTCTTCAAAAAATTTTTCACAATCTGAGCTTGGTGAACCTATAGTAGATACAGTTGTAAATGCAGGAGATTTGTTATATTTTCCACGAGGAACAATTCATCAAGGTGAAACTATTGATGACACACATAGTCTTCATATTACGCTAAGCGTCTATCAAAGAAACAGTTGGGGTGACTTTTTAGAGAAGTTGCTACCAAATGCATTAACAACTGCTATAGGAACGAATAGTGAATTTCGAAAGGGATTACCTATTAATTGTCAAAAACAGTGTGGATATGTACATTCTGAGACTCAAAATAATATCAAAGATGAATTTAAAGAAAAAATAAAACATTTTCTTCATAAATTAGTAGAATATATTGACATTGATACAGCTGCAGATTTAATGGCAAAAAATCATATTCATGACTTTTTACCACCTATTCTCTCTGAAACTGAACAGAAATGTTCTGCTGTCCAAGATGGTGAAAGGATGACTGAAAATGGTATTGTAGAAAACAGAGTGGAAATAGAACCCGATACTAGAATTCGGTTATTAAGGTCTCATTGTATAAGGTAGGATTTAATCAAGATTAAAATGTAAATTGGTTATAAGTTTAATATTCAAATGTATATGTTTAACCATTTATTTAAAAATGTTATTTATTGTTTATAGGCTAATTAAAGAAAATGAGATATTTAAGATATACTATTCTAGTGAAAATTCTAAGGAATATCATGAGTATGAACCACAGTTTTTAGAAGTTAGTGAGGAATTTGTACCTGCTATTAGAGATATAATATTGCGATATCCTGAATTTATACGTGTAGAAGATTTACCAATTGATGGTGAAGATAATAAGGTAAATAAAGAAGTATAAGAAACAATATAAAACAACATCATAATAGAATGTTTTCTATTAATTTTATTTAACACATTCGATATTTTAAATTATTTCTATTTAACAGATACAGATAGTCAAAGATCTTTGGGAAAAATGTCTTGTTGTAACGGACAAACCATTATGTGTATTGGAATAAATTACATATTTTAAGTAATTTGTATACAGATTTGTGGAAAAATAAATACCCGAACTCGAATTTATTATAAATACTGTTATTGTCTTGACTACAATGCAATTTTATGAAGATTTGTGTATTTTTATAATATTACGATTATATATTATAATTACTTTGAATCAAAATAAAATTAATGTAATGCAATTTATTAACTATGACTTGAGTACTGTTGCATTAAACCAGTAGCAATATTTGACAAGTCATTGTATAGTATGTGAAAATATATACGGAAGTTATGCGAAATTGAGATTTTTCGAATAAACGTTATTTTAGAAACATTAGTACATATTTATCAATTCACTGGTAAATTTGTCATTGTAATTTTTTTAAAAACAAGTCAATTTTTGTAAGTAACTTTTAGTCCTTGCATGTTATAATAACTTCCTTTTTTATTTGTATATTTAATAAAAAGATAATTCAATTAGAGAATTTTGAAAAATTTCTATTTTTTAGAAAAAATACTTTGAATGAATGAAATCAGAATTTTTTAATATTTTTGATATTTATTCTTTTACTTAAATTTATCTGTCTCAAAATTTCGTTTTGTCTCATATTATTACAGAGATGTATCGAAAAAATAAAAGATTGCAAGAAGACTAAAAGTTGGTAATATTAATCACTCAGAATTTTTCAGAGAAGATTCCTTTCATATCCTAATTAATTTTTTATATACATATATATAAAGTTTTAGTAAAATTAAAATTTCTGGATTAGATGATTTTCTGTGTAAAATTAACTATGTATTATATGTATATCAAATGCATCAAAATTGTATGCTAATAGGAAAAAATATAATTGATATAGTATGTATTACTTTATAATTTGTATGCGGAAGGTTATATCTAAAATTTATAATTTATTTTACATGTATTTACAAATCCCGCATAAATTTAAAATATATCAAACTATAATATCTAATTCTATGATCATATATATATTATCACTTTTGAATGTTTTATGTAACTAGAATTTAATATTTTCTTTAATTTGTTAAGAAGTAAATTTATTTTTAAGTTTGAGTATACATTTCAATTATAAATGATAAATTCTTATTTCTATAAATAAAAAAATGTAAAATGGATAGTACATTGTTTTACAAATTAAAATTACTTATATTAATAAATTACAGTTTTTGTAATTTTTTTTGTATTTTAGTAGAAGACAATTGTTACAAATGAGTGGATTAAAAAGAATTTGTTTTGCATACATTTTGGATATAAATTTGTATGTTACACAAAATTCTGTGATATATTTCATTAACCAAAGATCTGTAATATACATGTATCTTTATTTATCCAATTTGTTATTCCGTTTTGCTTGAGCAATGTGATCTCTTTGTCTTCCAAGAACATATTCAATGTAGCCAAGGTATCCATCGTGATCCAAATCATCTTCTCTCAGTACTCTGTCCACAAGTCCTTTATAACAAAAATAATAATCATCATTTACTAAAGTATGCTTTTATCATATACTTTCAATTGCACATAATAAAATAACTTTGTTAACTGTAATATTAGTCTTTGCCAACAGGGAAGTTATTATTTTCTCATTGAGTACTTACTAATTTCTTCTATTAGTATTTTGATATAAATCTAGATATAATTTTTAAATATATTTGGTTTCAAATTACTCAATGTAATTATAGAAAGAGTGACAAAGTTCCGACATACATATGTAACGAAAATATATTTATCTACATTTAGTACCTTTTGACTACATTTTTGTTATAATGAAACATTCTAAAAATATTTATTAAAAAATTCTAAAACGTCTGAAGTAGTAAAAGATATATTCAATGGATTGTTATAACTGTTTTTCAAAAGAGAAGGATGCAAGTAATAAAATTAATAATTTATGATTTATAGTCTTCAAGAGGAATATAGAAGGGTTTCTTTTGATTTTACCTAATTACATATCCTTAAATCCTTATCCTAGTTATTTGTTTACATTTTGGTACCATTAGTAATAATTTTATTTTTAATAACAAGTAAGACATCTTGTACAAGAATATATATGATTCAAAATGAAACATAATTCAAGCATTTAAGTATTAATTAATTATACTATATTAATTAATGTAAGGAACATTAACATAACATTAATGTTTCTTACATTAATTAAATTTATTATTATTTACTGTGATATCTTCGTTTTGCGACATAATATTGTTTTCATTAAGAAATTTGTTCTAATTCTGAGATAAAACACCAAGAATTTTATGCGTGCATGCATTGTACTAAAGTATTGGTTTTTAGTGAATTATCGAGAACTGTATTACACATAAAATTCATTTACGTACCTACAATCCAAGGCAGATCATCTTTGTAATCCATAGTTTTCGAATTTTCGCTTGAATTTTCACGTTCAGCGTCAGCTTGTCTGTTTTCGTGGAATGTATGCTGGATCGCATAAAGAATTTCTAGTCCGTCCAATTTATTATTGTTGTCTATATCGTGAATTCTACGATTAATACAGTAAATATAATTCGTTCATTTAAAAAACTCCTTATTATACATTTATTATAAATTTATTTATTTATTTATTTATTATATGCATAATCAATTACATTTTCTATTTATGACTACAGGCGTAATAAAGTTTCGTGTATATACTATGTGAATATAACCAGGCATAGCATTGGATCCTGAAATCAAAATTCTTTTTGAGTTTGGAAGCTCATTTCTATTTTGATATCAAATTAAATAAAAGATATTGGTGAAATACGGTTCGATATCAAAATAAATAAGTTCTTGAACCCAAAACGAATTTTGGTTTCAAAATTGAATACCATCTTTGTGTATAATACTATAATCATGCAAATGTGAAACATCGAATTTAATGTAAAGCGAATTATATATATCTTAATATTCTCGAAATATTTAAAAAATTACAAAATCGTATCTTGGTGAAAATATGCTTGGTGTAATGAATTAACTTGATATACGTAAGCTTTTTTTTTTAATGTATATGTATGCATATATACATGTATGTATGTGTATATATATATATAAACTTAATATTATCGCGATCCATTGAAGTGGAATGTATAATTTGAAAAAAACTGATATATGATATTATTATGAATTGAATCTCAAAACTAATTAATTTTTACTAATTGATAAATTCTTTATAACCTGATATTCGTTTAACAATTAACTCACTTTGTTTGACATTTGAACGATAAACAAATATGACATAATAGGTTACGTTTTTCTTGATTGGATAAGTGTCAGATCATTTCAGACGTAGCGTACTTTACTATGAATTTTAGTGTCATAATTATATCATAATTACTAATAATAACAATTTACTAGATTTCGTATACAAAATTATTTTCTTTTCCAATTAGAATTCTAGTGATCAGTTTAGTCAGTTATTAATAAGATTGATTTATTTCTTGCCAATGATCTAGTATTATTTTAATTTTTTTACTTGCTCTAAATACAGACATTTTGTCTTCATTGTTATATTTCACGTAATCTTTTACATATTTATTAATATCGATTGATTTTATTGTCATTACAAGTTGTATAACAATTGCAACTTTTCCATTAACATTTCTGTCGTCTTCTGGGAATGATCTTTACCTAAAATTTAGCCTTATTTGTTTCATATTTATTTTTATTTAAAATTGAATATCCACTATTTGCTTTTTTTTTCATACTTATAAAGAAAATTCAATATATTTACTACTGCTCAATCGGCTCTGTATCTCTTCATTGTTTATATACAAAGTAAAAGTAATTACGTTTAATAAGTGTTCGACACTAATATATACTTAATAACGCAATAAACATTAGTGGAATTGTAAGACTCTTCACAGTGGTTTCGTAAATTTTAACCTCTACAATAGTGAAGAGTAATCAATGTAAATATCACTCAGTCACTGTTTTATCGACTGATCTATGTCCCATAAAATTCGATAATTTTTAAAAATTATCGACTTTAGTCTTCACAGTTTTTATATTATCGAATTTTAATCCACACAGAAAATTATTTGATCTTTTAAATAATTAACGACGAAAAAGCTATTGACAGAATATGGTGTAGAAATTTGTAATAATTCTTGCAATTTTTTACAAGTCACTTTCACGTTGCATCGTAAGACGACGTTTTTACTATTAGATTAATCGATAAGTTCTGTCGTTTGTTTCTTTTCTTTAGAGAAATAAGTCAATTATTTTAGTCTAAAATTTGTATTAACTAGTTACTTATTACTTATTACCACTGTTATTATACTTATAATCGTGTTTCACCTATCTGAAATTTATTTATTTATACTGACGCACGTTTAAACTATACACAATTTGTGGAAATCCCCTAATAAAATGATAAATATTTGTTACAAATAAAATTTAACGACAGAACTTTACGACCAACTTAACTTACGACGAACTTTATTTTCAATCGCTATACTGTAGCACACTAGTGTCACAACAATTTTTAGGTGTGCCATTAAAATTTAGAATCATGCAATAGTTATCACGATTATTACGGTGGTGAAAAGGTAATATTGCTATTTTTGGCATAAACTTGTAACTCTTTGTTTTTGTTTTTTTAGATAAAAGGAAAGTTTTATCGAATTTTGACGTATAACTTGTTACTAATCAATATATAATAATTTTAATTAACGTGTAATTATATTTAATACATTAAAGATACTGAAAATTTGATAACTAAAATTTCCTTTCGGTTCGAAGAAAATTATATGTATTCTTTATCTTCTCATATTGGCAAAAAGTATATTCCTTATGTCGTAAGATGAAAAAAAATGAAAAATCACTGGATTAGTCGAACAGTTCAGTTCAGTTGGTTCAAATAAAAATTCATCGTGACAGCTTGATTTATTGGAAGGAATTCCCGATGGATGATTCCCTTTTTATCCCAGCACACATACACGTAACACGGCCTTTTTCGCTATGGGTGTGGCAATTTTTCCAATATCTATCGTACTATATTTATCTTGCAGTGTTTTTCGAAAGAACAATGTGAAAAATCTATTTTTCAGCGTGTTTTAATAGGTTTATCCAGGAAAAGCTCGACTGACTGAACAATAAGGAAGTTTTCTTTATGCAAATCGTGCAATATCCACTTTCTCAGTTTCGTTATATTTTTCGTATTTTTAAAATTACTAATATTTTTTAGATTGCAGCCGAATTTCGCGAATTCGACGTTTCGGCAAGGTAATTGTAAAATTGATATAAATGATAATATTAAATGATATAAATAAAGGGAAAACGTGTAAACGTGTCACTAGAAAATACCTAAAAATTTGTTAAATGATCTGACCATACTATTACGTATCTATGATAGTTATACAGAAAAAGCACGCAAAAGAGATATCAGATGCGGAGAATTGAATATTTTTTACATTAAGTATAATAAAAGTTACGAAGAAATAGTAACATATAGATTTCGAGGAAAGTTTAAAGGACTGAATTTTTTGAGAACCGATTTTGAAACAATTAAAATATTTATAATAATTAAAGAATTCTGTTTCTTTGGTGAACTCGAAGATGTATAATTTATTCCGATCGTAAGATCCAGCGGATAAACAGATGAGTAATAATAATGATGATCGTTTTTATGTGAAAATGTATGTGTAACGAATATAAAAACTATTGCCTAGTAAAAGGACTTTGCACTATTACACGATAGAATTATATCGGCTTTGTTTCATTTAATTTTCAACTTTTTCTCGCGGAATCTCGAGAAATTCTTTTCATGAGAAATCACTGAAAGATTTCAAGAATGTAAAAATACATATACGTGAATGTTTCGATAATGTGATAGAAAAATGCTTTTTCTGTTTGTAAAAAGAAAGTTTGTAAATAGAAAGAATATGATACGTAGGTATACGTTTAATTTCGTAGAAAAATGTTGTCGAAAGTTTTATTTATGAAAAACTCGTTTGATTCGAATATATTTTTCTGCAAAGAATTTTTACGACAATAAAACAGCAGTAAAGTAATACTTTTTTTTTGAATAACTTGTGATATATTTATTATATAGCACTATATTTATTATATAGTGCTTGTAAAGTAATTTTTAATAAAAGAAATATTTACAAGTATGTAGTATTTGTAAAGTAAGAATAAAGTAATATCTGTATAAAGATAAAATAATAATAAAGCAATACTTTTATAATGGCGAAGTAACAAATAACCAATAACAACAACAATAATAATAATAAAAGAAGAAGAAAATATGCTTTAGTCTAAGTAGAATATAGTAATTTAGTACATTAAAGGTATATTATAAACATACTTAAAGTAATGGAACTCAATCTCCTGTTCAGTCATATTCAAAAAGTCCAATTGCTCTGCTGCTGGTCCTAAGTCTTCTTTCAAATGGCTGAAATATTAATCATATTTTTCAAATTTTTATCGCACGAAGAATGATGTAAAATATATCAGAACGAATGATGTAGATAAAATAGGAGGGGAGATCTTTAAAATAATTAACGGTGAAAATAATATTTATTACGTTATTATTAAAATTAACAATTTGTCAATGCATCATGCAAGTTAACAATTACGAACAATCACGAACAATCACGAACAATCACGAACAGGAAACGAAACGTATTTGGGATAAAAAATTTCTTCTTTTATGAAATAGTATATTTCATCTAATAAATTGTGCAAGATATAAATACACGTGTACAAAGAGAGGAACGAATAGGCAATAATTATGTTTTCCAAATGTTTCTCTCACTTATAGGCAACATCGATGTATAATATTTATGAAAACCTAAAATACCATGTATAATAAGAGAAAAGTTGCTGAACAGTACCCAAATTGAAATTAACATTGAAATAGTGAGAGGAAAATTAAAAATGACATTGACATGTAGTGAAAAAATTCGGATTTTTTGGAAATTTCGTGAATTTCTCGAGGACATGAAAAGATGTTGTAAACTAATCTTTTATGAATTACATATCGGTTCTTCAAGGTGAAAACACTCCTTATACATATGTATTTATATGTTTTCCTATTCATCTATATATTTTTAAGATTACAGTACTTTGTACTATTTGTACTGTTAAGTTGTAGCGAGGAATTTTTCATTTAAATGAAGGCTCTTTTCTGTTTTGACAGTGTAGGAAGAGAAAGCAAAGGATAAAAAAGTAATTTAATTTTTGTTTCAAATATTTTTTCATATCTACTATGGCTTTAAAGAGACACTCATAAAAATACTAGTTTATAACATCTCTGGATCCAACAAACCGGCAATGTTTAAGGATTAAAAAAAAAAAGTCTGAATTTTCCCTCTAATAATAGACCCTATTAAACATTAAACCCTCTAATCTCTGTAAATTACTGCCGTGAACAACTATGAATTTATCATAAAATAAAAGATTGCACATGTTACTTTTATATTACGTTTCTAAATCAGTTACCTTCAACTTTTTTAATTTCGAAATATTTAATAAAAAAGGAAAAAGAAGATTAAGTTTAATAAAAAGATTTTAGAAATGAACTTTGTTACGAATCAACGTGCACTGATAACGTGGCAAGCTTAATAATGTGCTTAATCAGTGATCCTTGATAGTAATTAAAAATTACTATAGATAATATATAGATAAATAATAATGCGAAATAAGAATGTAATTCTTGATAGTAATTAAGAATTGGCGTATAAATAAGTAATAATGCGAAACAATAATGTAATTCTTGATAGTAATTAAGAATTGGCGTATAAATAAATAATAATGCGAAATAATGAACGCGTACTTAAATAAAATTACGATACTTAGGCAGAGTTAAATGTTGACTAACGTAGCATCCTGTAGCAGTTCTGCATCTTGCGTTATTTTAACATCTTTTTGTGGAGCGTAATGATGATGGGAAAGAGCGCCTCGTGGATGATGTGGTCCACGCATACCATTAGAAAGTCCAACACATAAACCCAACAGAATTGTAGTTATCATTTGTTGCTCTGAAACAATTTAATAATACCTCTTTTTAATATATAATATAACATAATGCAATAATATATAATATCACCGTGTTTTATTCGTTGACAAATTTTATTCTCATTTTATCCTTAGAGATCCTTAAAGAGCCAAGCATTTCCCTTCTACCTTTAAATGACTGCGAAAGTGCAAATCAAGATATTCATAATTATTCCAACATTATTATCTCTAATACAGAATTGTATTAATATTCAGAGTTGCTATAGTTAGGAAAGAATGAAACGAATGATTAATACAAGTATTAAAAGTATAATTAAAAGTATAAAAGGAAGTTTTGTTGGAGTACGTAAAATAGATTTTCAATGTGTAATATCTAAATTGTAATTGGGGAAATTAATTAAAAATCTTTCACACTGTTATATAACTATTTGTAATATAAATACGAAGATGATATCAAATTCAGAGTTACTAATTTATTGGTTACTTAGGAATTTAGTCACAGAATTAGTAACAGTTTAATTTTTACATTTTTCAAAATTCACCTATTTGTATTTATATGTTTCGAGTCGTAATATTCAAATTATTAATTTAAATCGTTCTCAGTACATGTTCCATTTACAGGGTGTCTACGTTAAGTTATGTCACCATTTTTCAGGCATTTCCGGTATTATTAAAAATATCTATTTACGATTAAAAAATCTTTCAGACAAAGTGTTCAATGGGTTACATAATCCCATATTACTAGATCTCGAGAAATGCTTTTTGCGTAAAAAAATTCAAGAGATAACCTTGATTTTTTTCAATGACACTATATGCTTTTGATGTCACAAAATTATTGCTGACATCGAGACGAATTCAACGATGTATCGATATATGTGTACTACGATCTTGAAAATTTTTTTAAGCATTTTCTGAGATCTAGTAATATGGCATCGCGTACTCGACGAAACGTTAGAAAAATTTTGTTTGAAACATTTTTTAATCGCACTATCCGAAATGCCTTAAAAATGGTGATATAGTTATGTGAATGTGAACACGGACACCTTGTGTAATAGAAAATTGAAACGAACGTAAGAAATTTTCCGAGTTTTATCAACATAACAAACTCCGTTGTATCTAAAAAGTAAAAATCTAAAAAGTAAAATATCCTAAACTTCGATTTCGCAACAAACAAAAAATATGTTCGATTTAACGTTTAATGCAAATTTAACGCGTTGTTTAAAATATTTTTCTTCATTCGTCATTTACTATAAATAATTCAGCAAACGAGAAAAGGTTTAAGTTAGCTTTTACGTGGTCAAGCATGGGGTGAAAATAAAAAAAAGAAGTTACAAAAGAGAGTAAAAATCGAGGAACGACACCGCGTGATATTTCTTACAGTGCTGAATGACAATAGGACCTGCTGAGACACTTTGATCGCCTATGTTGCCGTGGCATTGCCCACTGCCACTTGTAGGGGTTGAACACCCCTTGGCTAGTGACAGATGGGCGGTAGAGGGGGTCCTAGTAATTATTATGCGATTACCCACAAGCCCATTGATTTAGATTGGACCCCGGGGGGTGCAGCACACGATGCTCTGGGCCCGTCTTCGAATTTGCTACACATCACTCGTCAGGAACTTTGCGATCGTTTAAAGCCCTATGAAACGTGTACACTGGAAGCCTATGCATTCCTCTCCTTTTACAATTTTATCTCTAAGAAGTAACATATCCCTTGCAATGCTATGATCATCTGTATGAAACGATTGAATCACAAAATGAATAGAAAGTAACAAAAACATAATAAAATTGCATAACAGAAGAGCAAAATATATTATTAAATTAATATATATTATTAACATAATAACATAATATAGTATATTATAGTATTAATGTAATAGATATCTAGAAATTCTTTCATTCTCGAGTTTTTTCTTTATTTTGTAGTAATATTTATAAATCTTTTATTTGTGAAGAAGTAGTTAAGAAACTATGGATTTACAAAGTGCTGTTTAAAATCGAGCGTGCGAATAGTTTTTACTATAGTCACTGTAGAAATGAACTAAAACGAGTGATCTTGTTAAATTCATTTTTCCAAATTGTTCGACTTATCAGAATTCGAAAACGTTCGTAATAAATTATGCTACTATGCTACTATGTTGTTAACGTTACAACTAGTAAAGTAGAAAAAATGAGACGACAAAACAGGAGAACTAAGACTCTTTTCAAAATTACCTACTAAAAATATATTGGCACTCTTGATAAAGATCATTGTTGACTTTTTTCAAGTCAAATATAGTTATTTTGTTACTTCTGTTACGGTATTTTAATTAAAACCATTTCCATAAAAATGATTCAAACATATTCACATATGTATACACACACACACACAATTTTTTAATAAAAAATTTAGGCACTGTTAAAATATTCAAACGATATACATGAAAAGATATCGAACAATGATAGAGAAAGAATTGAGAGAGCTTGCTTTAAGAGAGCATCATAGTTACATGAAAAAGTATCGATAGCAGAGGAAAGAGAAACAAAGAAGAGAGTCGTTTTTAGCTGTGTTTGCACTCAAATTGAGCACTCGAAGTTGTGTAGAAATCAAACGGAAATAGGTGTTAAAAGACACGCAAGATTGACAGGAATCCTGGGTACTTAGGAATCAATTTTATATAGGCTTACGGTGGTCGAGTGAAAATGCATATGTTGAGGGGGCCTCAAGGGGCTTTCGATGCAAGTGGACCCCCCGGGTACACGCCCCAGTTGGAACAGAACACCCTCGATTCCCTCTCCTCGCTTTGGTGTCGAAATCTATAAATAATTTATATCATTTGGTCCATTCACCGAAAGAGCCCATATGTACCTGTGTCGCCTTACAGGGGACCTGTGACCGCTCCAGATTTTTTCCTGCAATATCTCGCAGATCAAGAATCTCTATCTAGAGTACGTATGTATAAAATGCATTTACGTGTCACGTTAATATAGTCGATATGACTAAAATATCGACAATAACAAATGTTTATAAAAAGTGATACTGAACTTTTATTGGAAAATACAAGATGATTTTGTCATTTCAATATGGCCACACTTTAAAGCTTCCACGTTTGTGTAAAGCAATTTCTGATTTACATCTCGTTAAAGTACCAAAGAAAAATTATTGTAATTCTGTACATTTGGTATTTTTTAGAAATTATTCGAAAATGTGAAAAGTAACGTTGTTAACTTCTTGTGGTAGAACGCTATAGGAAGTTATTTTGTAATTTTCATTACAGTTTCTTTATTTTTATTCTTATCTCAATCGCACAGCTGTAGTTTATAAAGAATTGTTCCATGATTTTATAATGAATTATAATATAAAGGATTATAGATATGTACATTTACTGGCAAATGTTTAAAAATGAAGTAACTATTTTCTAGGTTATTTTCTTTATCTTTTGCAATACGAGTATTAAAATCACAAATAACATATAGAGATAATATTTTATATATCGATAAACGATCAATTTCTTTTTTTTTTTTTTTTTGATATCTTGAAGAAAGTCTATTTTTAATTTTAGTCCATTTTAGTCTATGTATTTCAAAAGATAAAGAATATATAAAATTCGTAAATAATTATTCTGTTTCTTAACTTTCGGCAGTAATTACATATAATTATATAAATCATACCGATAAATTATAATTGTATCAATAATTACGCAGTTCTCTATGAATTCTAATTCAAAGATACTAAGAGCATTAAATACCAAAAATTCTAATTATTCTCTTAATTATTCTCCTAATCGTCAAACTTTTCTTTAGTTACTCGTTACAAATGTCTTTGTATACAAAGATATTATACCGATTCGGTAATAGACGTTCAAATAGCCCGCCCTCTGTCCTTCGATATTCGGCAACCGTGACTATCGAGATAGAATCTCGAATCGAGGGAGTCAGAATCTACCCCTATGTTGTCTCGGATCAGGTTATCCTAACCTAACCTTAAATCGAGACGAAGCCGAATGAATTTCCTGTTCAACTCGAATCGTAGAAATTTCATAATTGTAATTAAACTAATAAATAAAATATGTTGTTTACCTGGATTTAACGTGAATGATCGGCCAATTATTGATTTACGAATATAAGCCGAATTTTCGTTCGATTTTTCACGGTCGATCTTTTTGACAATGTTTTCAACTGGATTTCTTCTTCCGTAAAGCGCGTGACATTTATCGACGTTCTTCACGGAGTTTGCGTAATCGACGAGTTACTCCCTACAGTTCTCCCTTAGAGCGGGCTATTTTGTTTTTGAATTTTACAAATCGACGAAATATCTGAGAAGAATGAGGATTCACGTAATGAAAATCGAAAAGTCATTACCTGTGCGAGAAGTTTCGAATCATCTATATTTTCAAACCGTGAATGTATATTATACCGTTGAAATATATTTAAGTAGTGAGTGAAAATATTTATCCTGAAATTATATGTTTGGAAGATGTACAAATATCTGACTAATATTATTAATTGAAGTTCGTCAGAATTTGTTTTATTCACTTTCTTTATTATTAAAAATTAAAGTAAAATTATACTTATGAAATTTATATTTGTTCTTTAAAATTTGTTTAACTTGAAAATATAAATTTTCTAAGAATACGATATAAAAAAATTTCTTTTAAAGTGAAAAAATATGTTATTTCTGATTTGCTGACTGGAGTTTAGTTTCTAGTGCATTATAAATTTAGATTTTTTAAAATTTTACAAATATTAATAAGTATTTTTATTATCAAAAATTAGAAAGGCGAATCCTCGTGTCTGCAAAGTTATTTTACAAAAATACCAAGTTTATTTTTATGCATATAAAATCGTAAAATCAGGTAACGGTTTATTTTATTTTAATCGTGAAATTTAATTGTTGAACATTCTATATGCCCTAATCAACGAGTGTGATTATTATTGAACGTATGATTTTTAATTTCAATTTCTTATCAAATTTATACATTTAATATATAACGATCGATTTAAATAATTTAATATATACGATTTTCTTTTATTCAGTGAAAGAAATGAAAAATATATTATTTTCATTTCTTAATTAACGTATAAATTCTAAATTAATTCAAACTGATATCCTAAATAATAAATTAATATAAAAAGCGTAATGTGTTTTGAAAAATATAATATTTTCAAACAATTCAGTATATTTTATTTTATGTTAGATGCACTTCGCTATATAAATTACATTATATTCTGGTTTTCTATGATGCTTCATTTTTTCCTAAAATTGTGAGATACGCCGAAATCCATCAAGATAAAAAATTGGCTGAAAATGAAGGTATAGGCTTTTCTTATTCGTTTTTTTTTTTTTTTTTTTTTTTTTTTTTTTTTTTTTTTTTTTTTTTTTTTTTTTTTTTTTTTTTTTTTTTTTTTACTATCCGCTGATTCTATTAAATTTCCAATAATAAAATAGCAAAAGTGCTGATATTTCGTTGCCAAACTATTTATTGTTATTCAGAAAAGTATTGGACATTTTTTTTATGCCGTCACGTAATATCGAGTAAAAGGTAGGAAAAGTACAATTACAAAATTTTATTTCATTTAGGATTATTCTATAAAATTAATAAACGGAATATAAGTTTATTATAATTTATTCTGAATTCAGTAATCTATGTGTGCAACGTAATATTAGGAATCTAAAATATGGTTACGTTTATTGCATGTAATTGAAAATCTATTTATGAGTTTTTGTTTATTTGTGTTTAAAATGTTTATCTCAATTTTGAATTTTTTCTTTGATAAAGAATATTCTTCCACAGATAAGTCATGACAACGTAATTATTAGGTACATAATCATGAGTGACGTAAAGATTTCGAGAAAATAAATGATATGCCTAACAACTAGTGACATATGTACTTTTTCGTTTTATATATTATCACAGCGTTAATTATTTTTAATAATATTTCTTTAAATTACATTACATCTCGAAATGATATAAATGAAAATTATATTTATTTGGATATATTTTATAGTTTTATTTTATATATCGGTATCTTTTTATTTATATTATTTAGAAAATACTTAAAAGTGCAGTAAAGATAGAAGAAATGGAAACGTAGTCAAAATTGTTAAAAATTGAAAGGATGAAGAATGTTAAACTATTCTCTGGAGAATTGGAAGATTGGAGGTAGATGAAAGGTTTCCCCCCTAGTTTCCCCCCCGGTTTTTCCCCTAGATTGAATCAAGAAATATAGCATTTATCTTCAGTATGGCTTACATAAAATTGAATATCAATCTGTGCATTTTCACTTAGTGTACCATTTGTTTAAAATAATCTTGAAAGATTCTCATTGTCCATGTTGCTGTGGTGAATAAAGTATATGCGTAGAATGCAACACTTGAGTCATTTTCCATTAAAGCCTTAAAATTGGTCATTCTGCAGGCAAAGATGTACGTAATATCAATATACTTATCGATAAGAATAATACCAACAAATTGTATTATTCAACATGTATAAATTTTATTTTAGCGACACCAGTCTCCAAAAAAGGAAAAATAAGATGAATATATTGTATTAGGACTCTTCATTAGATTTATGTAATATACATTAGGACTCTTTTATTTAAGTTTTGAAATTTCTACGAAATTTTTATGAAATTTCAAAGAAAAAATATTTGAGAATATTAATAGTAAATAGATTATCACATATTATAGTTACAATACTAACAATATTTATAATAAACAATAGGAAATGATAGCAATGACATAAATAGCAAATAACAATAAACAATAATAATTAAATACAGATAATAGCAATAAGTAAATGTAATTAATAAATGATTAATTAATAATAAATAAGTTAGGAAACCGAATTTTGTTGTATGACAACAACAAAATTTAAAGTTACCCTAGTTAAAACACGAAATTCTATTACTATCCACCATGTTTGATTCTCTCTCCTATTGATTTCATATAATAAATTATGATGATAATCGTAGAATAACATTTTTGGAAAATAATATCTTTCACTATTCCATAATATATCGATGATACGTTTATATCACAAACTTATAATTCATAATAATGCTGTATAGAATTACTGTTATAATTATTATCATTAATTTCGAAAATTTGGTTTTAAGTTTGCATTAATCTCGATAATTAGATTTAACCTTTACGGATCTAAATATCTAATTCAACATACTTTACAAGATTTTCATTTATAACTGGGTATAGTTCATTCCTTTAACCTAAAAATGGTATCCCTTATTAGCAAGTAACAACTACAGCAAGTAAAATGACCGTATCGAAAGTATTGGTTGTAACTGATAAATTTAAAGATATAGATAATTCTCATATAACACAGTAGTTAGGTTCCAAAAACTAATACTAATACATTATTATGCATTTCCTAACCTTCAAATATATATTAAAAGTATGATAATTTTTTGTACGTATAAATCATGCTACACCAGGGATTCCCCAATTCTCTAACCTATACATATTGTGTATAGGTTATCTATATTCCTACTCTTTCTTACGTCGAAGGAACCTCACACAGTTAATAAATAAAGTACAATAAAACAAATAAAATAAGATAAATGAAACACCCTGCATAACGAAGTTAAGCACTTGCAATATCTTATAACATTAGTTAAATAGTTGTTTAAAATTGCCAGAAATTTCAAATTTCTGTTGTCGTTAGTTTCTAGAAGAAAACCATTATATGCTGCTGATCTTTCGCGAAACCTTTACTCGTCGGACATATTCAGCAAAACTTACGTTCAACCTCGACGACACAACAAGAAGTAAGTAGAATGTTTTCGAAATCAGCGAATGTTTTCAAGAGAGACTATCGACAAGCGAATTTTCAATGAACATACATGGAGAAAGTTGCTGTAAGAAGGACCAAAGGACAAATAAGGACAAAAGAAACAATTAAAGACAGGAGAAAGAAAAACGAGCTATAACAGAGAGGTGTGTGCTGAACGAGAGTCCAGGAAATATAGCTGGTACAGGCGTTTGCGCCGGCGCGGACGAAACAGAGTCGGAAGAAATCGCAGGGAATACAGGGAAAGGATGGAAAAGCTAAAACACGGGTGGCGTGCTCAAAGGAAAGGAGGAAAAGGGGCGGAAGAGTGGAGATGGGAAAGAAAATGGAGGATGGAGGATAGGAAAGACGCAGAGTTGGAAAAGTATGCAAAGATAGAGGGAAGAAAACAGAGAATTGGATGGTACGTGTACAAGGATGGAAGGAAGGAGAAAAACCGAGAAGACGGGATAACTTGAGGAGAGAGAGAGAGAGAGAGTGAGAGAGAGGGGGGGGGGAGAGAGAGGACGGGAGAATGGTGATTCGAAAATAGGGGAAGGAGAGGAGAGGAAGAGACGCGTTGGTGAATTAGGAAAAGAGAACGAAGGAGAATAGGTGGTGTACATGTTGGAAGAGAAGTGAGGAGAGAGAACGAGAGCGGAAGTACAAGAAGAACGAAGAAGAAATGGTGCGTGTACGCGCGCGCGCGCGCGCGTGTGTGTGTGTGTGTGTGTGAGGGAGAGGGGCGTGGGGAGAGGGAGAAGGAGAGAAGAGAGAAGGCGAGAGAGAGAGAGAGAAACAGGGTACACGGATGGGTCTCTGGTTGCCATGGTGACCACCGTCGCCTAAAGCTATGCTTTTATTGATTCCAAGCCGCAAACAATGTACAGGAGTGGATGTTTCGCTCTGTTCTCTCTCTATCCGTCTGGATAGTGAGGTATTAACGTACCCCGAAATACCGATACCCATGGGCACGTGCCCTAGAAAAGCAGGGTCACGCAAAGAATTCTTCGATTAATTCACCGAGGACAGGAGACGTGCATCTTCTCTTCGAGTTCGTTTGCTTTACGTTCGCTTAACGTGCGTGAACTGTTCGATTCCTGATCCGAGGTTCGATTAATCGTGTATCTGGAATGGAATTCAATAGCACGCGGTTAAATTGGATCCTGTTATCTTGATCCCTCAGGTTTCAAGTATTTCCACTTGTGGCTGTTATTCAGAGAAGGTTAATTTATCGTTAATATAGCGTTAATATACGTGTTTGTACACGCGTGATTTTTAGGTTAAGGTTAGGTTAAGGATACTTAACGTTCATTGGGAGATACAAGAAAGATACTTAACATTCATCGTTCTTTAATCATAAATGTCTGTTACTGTTAAATTGGGAATTACAAAAT